TTAACTTGAGAAGGAAATCCATAATTAAGCTGCATCATGCTATTGAAAGTGAATATATTTATTTATCTCAATGGCCTTAGAGAAGTTAACTTGTAAACATGAAATTATTTTTCAGTCATTGGGTTATTAATAGTGTCCATTAAAACAATATTTCACTGGGTGAGATGTTACCAGTTTAGAAAAGAAAAAAATGAGATTTAGACGGTTGTAAAATCTCCCCCGAAATACCTTTACTCAAGTCATTTCTTTGTTCAATAATAAAGATAAATAGCATGGCAATGACAATTTTGTGCAGGAAAACTAATTATGGTGTGCTTTAGTACACAATAAAAGGTGTGTTCTATCCTGTAAAATTACTCTCTGAGGTTCATATAGGGAGGCTAAAATTTTCTTTATAACTTTTTTAGGATGCTGGGGTATAGTGGAAGAAATTATGTGCTTTGATTGGGTACTGTGGACAGTGGAAGAAGGAGCAAATGACCATAAGCTGCTGTCCAGATACTATCTGCAGCAATGAGGGCTCTAGTTTATTTCACAAGCTCTTTTACTAAGCTTCCTCTCAGAAGAGGCCATGGGATTCATGGTGGGGCTACTTCTGAACCTCCGTTAGCTCTATGGATACCTGTGCTGGAAATAAAAAGGTACTTTTCATATCTCCTGCTGAGTGAAGTATAACTGACTGACAGCCTGAGCTGTAGACCTGTTGGAGTATTAATGTAGAGGCATACCTCATTTTATTGCACTTTGCTTTATTGAGCTTCACATATATGTCAACAGCATGTGATCACATCATGTCTCTGTGTCCAATTTTGGTAACTCTCATGATATTTCAATGTTTTAAATTATTATTATATCTAATACAGTGATCTCTGATAAGTGACCCTTGATGTTATTATTGTAATTGTTTTGAGGCTCCACAGACCTCATCCATATAAGATGGCAAACTTAATCAATAAATGCGTACGTTCTGACGGCTCCACCGACCAGCCATTCTTCCTCTCCTTAGGCCTGACAATATTAGGAAATGACAATATTTAATCTCCTTAGGAAATGACAATATGAAAATTAGACCAATTAATAACCCTAAAAGGGCCTCTCTAAGTGTTCATCTCTCACTTTAAGTCAAAAGCTAGAGAGGATTAAGCTTAATGAAGAAGGCATGTTAAAAGCTGTGATGGGCCAATAACTAGGCCTTGTGTGCCAAAAAGTTAGCCAGTTGTGAATGTGAAGAAAAAATTATTGAAGGAAATTAAAAATTAAATCCCTGTGAACACACACATGATAAGAAAGTTAAACAATCTATTGATGATATGGAGAAAGTTTTAGTGGTCTACGTAGATCAAACCAGCCACAACATTCCCTTAAGCCAGAGTCTAATCCAGTGCAAGGCTCTCCCTCTGTTAAATTCTATGAAGGCTGAGAAAGGTGAGGAAACTGAAGAAGAGTTTGAAGCTAACAGAGTTTGGCTGATGAGGTTTAAGGAAAAAAACACTCTCCAGACACATAAAAAACTTTAATATAAAAGTTCAAAGTGATGCATCAAGTGCTGACATAAAAAGTGCAGTAATTATCTAGAAGATCTAGTGAAGATAATTGATAAAAGTAGCTACACTAAACAGTAGGCTTTCAATATATATGAAATAGGCATGCATTGGAAGAAGATGCTATCTAATACTTTCATAGCTAAAGAGGATAGATTAATGCCTGCCTTCAAAGCTTAAAAACACAGGCTATCTTTTTAAAAGCAAATGTAGCTGATGATCTTCAGTTGAAGCCAGTACATATTTACCATATGAAAAATTGCAGGGCCCTTAAGAATTATGCCGTATTTATTCTTGCTGTGCTTTACAAGTGAAACAAAAATCCTGGATGACAACATGTCTGTTTGTAGCATGGCTTACTGAATATTTGTTGAGACCCACTGTTGAGACCCACTGCTCAGAAAAAAAAAAAAAAAATACTTTCAAAATATATCATTTCTCATTAACAATGTGTCTAGTCACCCAAGAGCTCTGCTGGAGATGTACAAGGTGTTTAATGTTGTTTTTATTCCTGCTAACACAACACTCATTCTGTATCCCATGGATCAAGGAGTAGTTTTAACTTTCAAGTCCTATTATTTTAGAAATACATTTTATAAGAGTATAGCTGCTATAGTGATTCCTCTAATGGGTCTGAGCAAAGTAATTTGAAAACTTTCTAGAAAAAATTCACAACTTTAGATGTCACTAAGAACATTTGTGATTCACAGGAGGAGGTCAAACTCTCAATTTTTATGGGAGACTGGAAGAAGTTGATTCAAAACCTAATAGATGACTTTAAGGGGTTCAAGACGTTAGTGGAGGAACTAACTGCAGATGGGGTGGAAATAGGTAGAGAATTCAAATTAGAAGTGATATCTGAAGATGTGAGTGAGTTGCTGCAATCTCATGACACAGCTTGAATGGATGAGGAGTTGCTTCTAATGGATGAGCAGCAAAAAAAGTGATTTCTTGAGATGTAATTTACTCCTGGCAAAGATGCTGTGAATATTGTTGCAATGACAACGAATGATTCAGAATATTACAAAGATATAGTTAATAAAGCAGCAGCAGGGCTTGAGAGGATTGACTCTGATTTTGAAAGAAGATTTATGTGGGTAAAATGCTATCACACAGCATTTCATGCTATGGAAAATTATTTGTGAAAGAAAATATCAATTATCGATGTACATACTTCATTGTTGTCTTATTTAAAGAAATAGCCACAGCCACCCCAAGCTTCAGTAACCACCACCCTAACCAGTCAGCAGCCATCAATATTAAGGCAAGACCTTCTATCAGCAAAAAGATTTCAACTTGCTGAGGTTCAGATGATTATTAGCATTTCCTAGCAATAAACTAGTTTTACATGGTTAATACATTGTTTTTTGACCTAATTCTATTGCACACTTAATATGCTATAGTATAGTATAAATACAATTATATATGCAATGGAAAATCAAAACAATTCGTGTGACTCACTTTATTGTGATAATCACTTTATTGTGGGTGGTCTGGAAATTAACCTGTAATATCTCTGAGATATGCCAATAATCCCATCTCTTAAAAAATGTAGGACTCCTTAATGGACTACTTTTTCTCAAGTGTTTTCCATCCAACCGGCTGAAGTGTCTTAGGAATGGGATGTAATCAGTACTTTTTTTTCTTTTTTTTTTACCCAATGTTCCTTCTCCTCCCTCTTCTTCATAGCTGTCAGACCTGCATCACGGTCTGAAGAGTCTTCCCACCTTCTCTAGATTCCTTCTCTTTATTATTCATAAGCACTTTTCCCCAAGTAAATATCCTGCACATAATCAATATTGTAAAAATCAACTGTCTTGGGATCTGCTTCTCAGAAGACTTGAACTTTAGAGTTTGGGGAAAAGATAAATAATTTGTTATTGGATGTGCAAATTACGAGATGTTTATTAGATATCTTTTGAACAGGCAGTTAGTTCACAAATCCGGAAATACAGTGAGAGGAAAGTTCTAATCTGGATGTAGAAATTTGGGAATTGACCAAGAATCAATGATATGTAAGCCATGGAATCAGGTGATTTTTATCAAGGGAGCAGAATAAATGAAGCATAAAAGAGGACTGATGATTAAGCTCTGATTTACGGCCTCAATTAGAAAAGATGACTGAACAGTGAAGTGGGGATTAAATTAGGAAGGCATGAAGGACTGGAAGTCAAGTGAAGGAAGTGTTTTAAGGAAGAATCTGTAATTAATCTTTTAAAATGCTGTTGATGAATCTGGCAATATGAGTTCTAAGAAATGATTGGATTTGGCAATGATGGGGTCACTGCTGACCTTAAGAAAAAGTTTTACAGGAGTTGTAGGGGTGGTAGACTTATGTGCATTTTCAGGAAAGAGTGGGAAGATACACAGTCAATATACAAAGGGAGAGAGTGAGTATGGAGACTGCTGTCAAATAATTTTGCCATAAGAAAGAGAAGAGAATTCGATGTTTTCTAGAGGATGAAATAGATGCAAGGAATTTTGACGGCTTTTTTTTTTTTTTAATTTTAAGATGGGAAAAAGATCATGTTTATGTGCTGACAGGAAGTAGGAAGGGGGAAATTTGATAAAATAGTAAGAAGAGGGGAAAAGCTCTCTGTAGCAACGTCCTGGAGTCGGAGATAAAGTGTGGATGGACGATCCAACCCTCGTAAAGTGAGGAAAGGCAGAGTTAATAGGCACAGATGGAGGTAGGTGGATAAATGTGGGTGATGACTCTTTTTTAAAAAATCCTCTTCTGATTCTATTTTCTGAGTAAAAGCGGAATCCAAGGGAGGTGTTAGAGGTTTTTACTTGTCTCAGGAAAGTGAATGGACTCAGGAATTGCCATATGAGATTGCCTGGAAGCTTTAAGAACCCATTTGGGGTTGTAAGCATGAATGTAAAGTGAGAGCAGTCTGCAGGCATTGTGTTTTTTTCTGTAGGGCATGATCTGCTCTACAAGGACAGGCACAAGAAGGCACTGGATTGGATTTAATTAGGGTCAAGGTATTGCCAATTTAATACCAGGAAGGAAGAGAGGGGCACTAGAGATGAGAGAGCAAGCAAGGGAGTGATTATAATATAATATAAGCACAGTGAGAACATAAGGATGGTGAGTATCCAGGTTTTCCTATCATCCTTAAAAAAGTACCATGTGAGCAATTGCCTGTTGGTGAGTAAAGCTCTCCCTGTGTGACATTTATCTTCCTTAGTATGGCTTGGAGAGAGTTCTGGGGTGGTGATGCTTTGTAAAGAAAAGTCATGAAGGAAATCATCAGAACACATCATTTGCCTGTTATCCAATATCTTGTTGGATCTGAACTGAAGGATTCATAAGACAGTTATTAATGGCTAATATTTCAAAAGAAGAGACTTTTCTTGTTAACACAATGTATCAATAAAAATATTTCTCAAGGTAGTAAGCTTATCCAGTGACAATGTTTTGCTTAGATAAATTGGGTCAGCATATCTATTTTCTGCAACAGCTAATCAAAATATTTTAATAAGCATAAGAATTCCACATTAAAACACAGAACTGAGGTTCCTACCTCAGTTATTTGTGCATCTAATCCATTATAGTTGATACTACTTTGCATTAAAATGATAAATGCAACAATTTCTTGTACGTTATATAAATAATATACACATAAAATAAAATATGAATATGTCACTCCTAATAGAGATACATCAGTAATTTCTTAAAATTGCTTTTTCAGGTACTCAAGCATTACCCATATGCATTTAAATGTTTGAAAGTAGTGTTTTCTAACAGGCAGAGATTTCGTGATGAAGACACAAAAGACGGTTGCAACGAAAGGAAAAATTGACAAATGGGATCTAATTAAACTCTAGAGCTTTGTCAGAGCAAAGGAACCTATCAGCAGAGTGAACAGACAACCTACAGATTGGGGGAAAATATTTGCAAACTATACATCTACAAGGGTCTAATATTCCAGCATCTATAAGATACTTAAATTTATAAGAAAAAAACAAATAAACCCATTAAAAAGTGGGCAAAGGATATGAACAGACACTTTTCAAAAGAAAACATACATCCAGCCAACAATGATATGAAAAAAGCCTCAATATCACTGATCATTAGAGAAACGCAAATCAAAACCACAATGAGATACCATTTCACACTAGTCAGAATGGCAATTATTAAAAAGTCAAAAGAAAAAAAAAGCAGATGCTGGGGAACTTGTGGAGACATTGGAACATTTATACACTGTTGCTGGGAGTGTAAATTAGTTCAACCATGTGAGAGTGTGGCAATTCCTCAAAAACCTAAAAACAGAAATACCATTGGATCCAGCAGTGCCATTAATAGGTATATAACCAAGGAATATAAATTGTTTAATTATAAAGATACATGCACATGTATGTTCATTGCAGCACTATTCACAGTAGCAAAGACATGGAATAAACCTAAATGCCCATCAATTGTAGACAGGATAAAGAAAATGTATGTATACACCATGAAGTACTATCCAGCCATATCATATGAAAGAGTGAGATCATGTCATTTGCAGGGACATGGATGGAGCTGGAAGCTATTATCCTTATTATCGTAATGCAGGAAGAGAAAACCAAATGCCACATGTTCTCACTTATAAGTGGGAACTAAATAATGAGAACACATGAACACATAGTGGGAAACAACACGCACTGGGGCCTAGCAGAGGGTGCTGGTTAGGAGGAGAGAGAGAATCAGGAAAAATAACTAACGGGTACTAGGTTTAATACCTGGGTTATGAAATAATCTATACAAAAAAACTCTGATGACACAAATTTACCTGTATAACAAACGTGCACATATATCCCTGAACTTAAAATAACAGTTAAATTAACAAAGAAAGTGGCTAACACGGTGAAACCCTGTCTCTACTAAAAATACAAAAAATTAGCCGGGCATGGTGGCGGGCGCCTGTAGTCCCAGCTACTTGGCAGGCAGAGGCAGGAGAAGGGCGTGAACCCAGGAGGCGGAGCTTGCAGTGAGCCGAGATTGCACCACTGCACTCCAGCTTGGGCCACAGAGCGAGGCTCCGTCTCAAAAAACCAAAACAAAACAAAGAAAGTAGTGTTCTCTAAATAGCTTAGAGAAAGACAATAATTCAATTATTTTATATTTTTAAAAATTATTGTTTCATAACGATAATTCTTAGATGATTAAAAAGTGTTTAATGTGTTAAAACAATGGGATATAAAATTGGCAGAGTTCCTGCTTTGATTTTTTTACTTAAATGAAATTTGGTTTGCTTATATATACATTCATTGGATAAATAAACTGATATTTTATTTAACAGCAAAATTGAATAAGCAATGACATTTTAAAACTTCTTTCTGAATACTTACATCTTGACAACATTTATATAGCTAACAGCACATTTGTAGAGATGTTTAGGATCCTCCGTGATAAAAACATATATACATATGTATACACATAGTTTTCAATTTTGTTTTTATTTTCCAACTACTATTTACTCTAAAGATAATTTTTTTTAATCTAATAATGACTATAAGGTGTCACCACAGCCTTTACTTAAAAGCACCATTCCACCTCTGAGAATAAGCTGATATTTTACTTAAGGCATATTGAACTTCTCCATGCACAAGAAGTTGGCTTGCCTGCCTAAAAAATAAATTTCTATGCAGAGCTTGTGTGGGAAGAATGAAATCTGCAACTTGACTTTTAGGATTGTCGTTTTCAGGGTCAGGCAGATTGGTGTTCAGCCCTGGCTCTGCCGTCTATAGCCTGTGTGAATTTAGGCAAGTTTATACCTTTTAATGTTTCAGTTTCTCTGTCTTTCCCTCACATACCTTTGAATAGAATGTTAAGTACAAGAAAACAGGACCTAGTCTTGTTTAAGAAAGACTCCCTAGTCCCTTGCACACCAAAAGATCCTTAATAAATATTTGTTGAGTTAACAAATATATAAAATATGTATTTTGAAGAGTATAAGAATAGTAATTATATAATAGGGATATTTTGAGGATAAAATGGCATAATACATGATGAATACAGAGCACAGTCCTGGATCAGAGTAACTATTCTTATTAGGGAAAGTTCTAGAAAAGCTGGAGTAAAGTTACCTTCTGTGTCTAACTTCTACTTCCCCTTCAGATTGTGGAAGGGATTTATACTACGACTAGTGGCCCTGTGCCACACTCTAGCACCCATGTATGTGTGTAAGAAGGAAAATATTTATCTTATTAATATTCATATCTCCTGAACCTTTTCTAATATTTAGGAGAAGTGGAAACAAGTTAAATGAATTAAAGTACTTTAGCACACAATCTAAAACTCATGCCATCAGTGAAAATGTTTTCAGAGCTTAACCATGCATACCAGAAAACAGGAGGTAGAACATGCGATATTTCATTGATTTTAAGGTGCTTATTTTAAATTTTTACATATCTGAGATCCGGATGCATTTTACAGTTAATGGCATCTTACAATTGACTGGCATCTTTCTTTCTTGGTAGTGCATAGCATAATAGGATGTCTTGAATAAAGTTTATGAAATATGTTATAGCTATATATTAAAGCAGTCCTCAATGTTTATTTCTTATCACCACGAACCCCTGGCAAAGAGCCTTCTAGGCATTTTTTCCCTCATATCTCACCCCCATGAAATGTTAATACCACAGATATACTCAATATGCTTATCTGTGTTTTGTATATGAAGTGATAAGATTTTTTCTTTTTCCTCAAGAACCAATTTTCTTCCCCTTGGGGGCTCTATTATATTGGAAATGTAGGTATGAAAGTGATGCATTCCTTGTTATTCTTAGGTTTTAGAATCTCATTTACTAAAATAATGGGAATCATGAGCTAGTTCTTAGCTTTAGAGGTTTTGGCTTTAATTATATAACACAATGTCTAGGAATTGTATTATTATCATGAATGTCAAAATGCCTGCAAAGTTTGAACATTTGCTATTTACCCCAACAGACAGAAAGCTGTCCATAATATTTTTTGTTAACAAATAAAAGATCTTCAAGTTCATCCAGTGATGTCATTCAACATATATTTCCCATTTTATGAAATAAGATTATTTAATAATTTCAGTGTAGAAATTTAGGATGTCCACTACCTCACTTTCATATATTCATTATTTTAAAGCCATAACGTGAACAATACATCCATAAAGAGACATTTGAAGACCATCTGATATTCATGAAGTACTAAGAAATATGCTGTTTTATGCTCCACATATTACACTCAGTTGGGAGAATGAAGATGTGCAATTGTTGAAGTTTTTGTGCGGACTCATGTACTGCAATCTAAGCAGTTTTGGGATTCCCATCTCTTATAGTAATAATGGGATACAGAGATCAGTTCATTTGTGACCAGTGGTTTACACGAAAAAGAAGGTAGGGATACAATCTCTGCCCATCAAATAAGGGTTTCCTCTTGTAAAGCTAATTATTATATTTAATAGCCTTAATTGATAGAGAAAGGAATAATTTATGTACTTGGATAATATCTTTAAACAGCAAAGTTGTTCAATATGTTCTTAAATATTTACTTATGTTTCTCTGGGCTATGCAGTTTAACTTCCATTTTTAAAAAATTAGTGGTGCAGAAAACTTCTACTATTAGTGATACATAAAATCTTTAACTTTTTGTATGTATTGCAATAACATTATTTTCTATTTGACAGTTCAAACATGTTTATATTGGCCCAGTTGTATTTGATTGCGTTAATTGGCTATTTTGGATACTCAGATGTGTCAGAACACTGTGCAGTTGTTATAGGTGATGTGAAATATTCTAGTAGACGAAGCAATGTATCAGCAAAAATTAATTAAGATGAGCAGTACTCCGAAGAGACTCATCATCAGAATACAGAAATCCACATCACTGCTTTATCATTTTAGTAAATTGTACATAGCTTTTGTAAATAAATTGAAAATTAATTCAAAACCAGAAATCATCTCCCCCGCTGCTCCTGGTACTTGCTCTTTCTCTGCCTTTCAGTCGAAGCATCTCCATGATACTCCGGGCATAGACATCTCTCAAGTTAACACTGATATATGAGTCAGTGGCTATATTCTTGGTAAGCTTCTTTAGGGCTTCACGCTGTCTAACAGCTGCTTCCTTGAGTTTCAAGGTGAAGTAGCAAGCAGAGAAGCGATCATTAATAATAGCAATAGGCAAGGCCAAGACAAGAATTCCTGATAATATACACATGAAGGCCACGATTTTGCCTGTGGTGGTGTCTGGTCTAATGTCCCCATATCCCACGGTAGTCATAGAGGTGGTGGCCCACCACCATGCACAAGGGACACTTGTGAAGGTTGTGTCAGGAATGCTTTGCTCAGCAAAGTATTCTACAGTTGAAAATATAGAGATTCCCACGGATAGAAATAGGAGCAGTAGGCCAACTTCTTCATAACACTGGGTGATTGTCATCCCAAGGGAGCGTAATCCTGCAACAAAACAAATGCTGTCAGTCATTGGCATCCCTCTTCTCTCTCTTCCTTCCCTTCCCTCCCCTCTCCCTCCTTGCTCTCCAGCCACAAACTGCATTGCACACTTAAATGTCCCCAGCACTGGGCAATGTTCTGGGGATGCAAAGTTGATTAAATCATAATCCTTGTGCTCAGGAAGTTCACAGTCTAGTTGATGGGACCAAGTTGAGAAGGCTAGAGAGAAATATAATTAGATTCATTAATTCACCTATAGAATTACTGAACTTCTACTATTAAAAAGAAGGCGAGAAGTAAGGCTGAAGGCAGGCAGGGGTGGTATGATAGGAGTTTTGTACTTTAGTCTGCACAATAAGAGGCCTCTGCGGTGTTGTATGTGGAGGGCTCATTTGGTCACATCTGCATTTCAATGCATCATTTTAGCACTTGTTTCTAATGCCAATTTTATGGTGTCTTGTATTTTATGTGTCTGTTTTTCTCACTTTCCTTGTGAAGTTTAACACAATCAGGAACCTGATTACCGGAAAGCCAGAAAAAGTAAACAATGGGCACCATAGCAACAAAGTGAAGCAGCAGAAGGAAGTTAGGCATTGGTGATAAACTTGACATGAGAACATCACATGTATATTCAGGGGACATTCTCAGTGGTATATCAGGAGGAGGTCTGAACTCCCAAGACACCCACTGAAACCCTAGTCCTTAATACCAAAGCTATAGAAAATTATCTCCCTTGAGTACATAAAATTTCTGCTTTCCTATAATAACAGACCTGAATACAGAATATTCCTCCATTGCACAAAGATATGGAAAATGGAACCACTAGAGAATTTACTCATTATGAAGCATTGGCTGCTTTTCCATTCCTAGATCTGAGGAGTTATTAAACCCCAGGGAGACAGACCCTCGATAGTCCAATTCTGTCTCTGAAGACACTAGGTCCTAAGGGGAGTAAGAGCCCCTGATGAGCTGGAGTGGTGGCTCACGCCTATAATCCCAGCACTTTGGGAGGCCGAGGCAGGCAGATCACGAGGTCAGGAGTTCGAGACCAGCCTGGCCAAAATGGTGAAACCCTGTGTCTACTAAAAGTACAAAAATCAGCCCGTTGTGATAGTGTGCGCCTGTAATCCTAGTTACTTGGGAGACTGAGACAGGAGAATAACTTGAACCCGTGAGGCAAAGTTTGCCATGAGCCGAGATCACGCCATTAAAATCCAGCCTGGGCAATAGAATAAGACTCTGTCTCAGGAAAAAAAAAAAAAAAAAAAAGAAAGAAAGAAAGAAAGAAAGAAAAGCCCATTATGGAACCAAGCTTTGAATGAACCATACGATTTATTCCCTAATACTAGAGAGGTGGTTAATAAAGTTTGTCCACATTTTGAAATTATATCAACATGATGTCAAAATGATATTGCCTCAGAAGTCCAAAATAATACCCCTTAGAACCTTTTTTTGTTTTTATTCACTCACTAGAAACTATTTCAAATGCATTACTATACTAATCATACTCTTATGATTTTGAATCTTGCTCTTCAAAGTTTGAGATATTCTTGAATTATTAACCAGCTATTTTTAAAGATCATTGAATAGTTTGAAGTTTAACTTCAAAAGAATATTTTTCAGAATACCTTTATAATACCTTTACCTTTATAAAGAACTGGCCTTGATGTGTCTACATGGAATTATGTTCCTTAAATAAATTCACAACACATGAGGAGATGCATAGCATTTGTCTGGGAACACTGTTTTAATTTAAAGCAAATGTTCGAAACAATTTTGTAAAGGAAAACAAAGTGGGTGGAATTTCTAGCATGTTATCTCTATTAACTCAGAGAATCTTCAAAAGAAAGGATGTAAGAGGGACAAGATAATTGTTATGCCATTATACAGATGAGGAGGCTGAGGCATGAAAAGATAGCTTATCTAGTAGAAAGCTACAGAGCCATGATTTAAACCTAGTTGTCTGGCCAAAAACCCATTATTCTATAACACCTCTCAATTTTTATTTATAATTAATACATGGGGAAATAGGTCATCTATGTTTACATTTTAATAAGTGTAGTGTGGAGGCAAAAATTGTCAAATATCCTAGTCATATATTTTTAATAATTAAGGGTTTACTAAAACTTTATACATGTTTTAGAATGGAGAAAATCTTTGAAGAGGTGACATGGTGGAAATTACTGTTATTTTCCTTTTCCTTTCTTCTAGAAAAAAATGTAGTCTTTACTGGGTGTTTTTAAATTGAGTCTTGTGAAGAGTTTATAAATACTTGAAGAAAGCATCCCATTATCTGTGTCAGAAAACAAAGAGTGGTACTTGTAAAAGTTCTTAGAAACCCCATTATCAAATTCCTGGTATGTGAGACTAGCTAGAAAAATACACTACCAAAATTATATTATAATAAGTTCTAATTACCAGAGAAATGTTGAAGAAAAACATATCAGAAGTTAATTTCACTCAACATTTATTAGAAGGACAACCACCATCAACCTTTCTTAGGTGGTCAGTCAGGGCACATATCTAGGGAAATAAAATAGGGATAGTAATCTGTAGTCAATTTGTTTGTGCTAATATGTATTTGTGTAAACATATAAAATTAATATGATATCATACTTCAGTGTTTCTTAAGGTTTTGTCCAAGAACCACCTACATCAAAGTCATTGGTGAACTTATTATTTATAAAATGTGTGCTCCTAGATCCGGCCTCAAGCTTTCGGGGGTTGGAGTCAGAAGCTGTATTTCAACAAGCTTGTCTGGGGATTCTTATTTTCATTAAGGTATGTCATAAGAAAACTCATGTACTCCAAAACATCTGACAGTTGCAGGGCCAGCCACTGATAACTACTACTGTTGGGGATGCAAGAACCATTTTTAATCAGTTCCTGTGATTTTCACTGATATTGATTATAATTTTCATGTACCTTATGTGTTTGTGTGTGTATTATATGGAGACTTTTCTAGGAAAATATTAATTGTATTTTCAAAGGCTCTATGACACACAAAAAACTAAGGGATTTCTGTATTCCCCTCTCTCATACATCCCAGGTTAGGGACAAGAAAACCTTCAGATACTAGATAAAGCATTTAATTAGTTCATTTTGCTTTCTCCCAAAGCAAAATATTTTCATTGCTTCTTCGAAAATTTTGGAAAGGCCACCTTCGCCTAGTCATTTCCCTTTCTGCATGGCCAGAGAATGCTCTGAAGGGCTGACTTTCCCTTCTGCCAAGGAGTATATGTGGCAAGCACTTCTTGGATACTGAAGAGAAATTGGTTTATGTCCCTATATATCATATATAATTTATGTGTATCTTTTTATGTGTCATTTAGGCCTGTTTTGTCTAGAACCTTGAAGAGGCAGAGTGCCTTTAATTTTTGTAAATCTTCTGGGCAATGGTTTCAGATAAACTGAGGTAAGCAAATGGTCAAATTTTCTCTCAATATTTCTCTTATGGAGAGGAGGTATGTGAGAGCTCACTTCTCTACACCTGTGATAACAACTTCAAGGTTTTATCTTCCCAGTATCTCCTTAGAGGTCATGATCGGGTAAAGTATGGGAGTCGGTAATTCTGAATATCAGTTCAGCGTTACTTTCCTTGTACTGTGGTCAAATAATGAATGCTGACGTGCAATGCAAATTAAAAGTCATCAATGAAATCTGAATACCTGTGGAATGTCTGCCCAGCTTTAGCATGCGCAGAGCTCTGAGCAGCCTCAAAACCTGGACAATGCGCCCAACGTTCTCCAGCTCCTGCGTGGTCTGGCTCCCACTTAGGCTCTCTACCAGAAGAGTGATGTAGAAGGGCAAGATGGCAAGGAGGTCTATGATGTTCGGCACCTTTCTTAGGAAGCGACACCTGTCCCGCACACACAGGAAGCGGAGGACAAATTCCCCGGTGAACCAGCTAATGCACACATACTCCAGGATTTCCAGCAGCTGCAGGTCCAGCCAGCTTAACTCAGCTGACATCAGGGCCATGTTAATGATGGACACCACCACGAAGATAATAGAGATGACCCCAAAGATACGGGCAGCTGTGGAAGATCCAGGTTTCTCCAGGATATTCCAGAGCTTCTGGCGAACAGTGGGACAAGGTCCTTGGGAGAAGTCCTGTTCACTCTCATGTTGACTTTCCTGGTCTTCTGTGTCCTTCTTGAAGTCTAAAGTTTCACTCAGCTCTTTTCTTCTGAAGTATCTTGTAGAGAAAACAATTGGTGATTAGTCCAACTTTATTAAAATACAGAAGTATAAGATAATTAAACATGGCAGGGAGGTCAGACTTTTTATTCAACGAAATGGAGAAAAATGTCTATTCATACTTTAGTTAGGTTGTGTCTTATTCACAGTATTCAGAATTTCTCCCTTAGGATTATGATTATCTTTCTTTTATCTTTTTATTTTATTTTATTTTATTTTATTTTATTTTATTTTATTTTATTTTATTTGAGATGGAATCTCGCTCTGTGGCCCAGGCTGGAGTGCTGTGGAGTGATCTCAGCTCACTGTAGCCTCCACTTCCCAGGTTCAAGTGATTCTCCTGCCCTAGCCTCCTGAGTAGCTGGGATTACAGGTGTGTGCCACCACCCCGGGTAATTTTTGTATTTTTAGTACAGACAGGGTTTCACCATGTTGCCTGGGAGTGGGGGGTCTCGAAGTCTTCGCCTCAAGTGATCCACCCGCCTCGGCCTCCCAAAGTGCTGGGATTACAGGCGTGAGCCACCACCACCGGCCTGGATTATAATTTTTAAAATGACACTGTCTTAGTAGAAGTTTATACATAGCAAAGCTACTTTGGATTAATACATTTTATTACCCATTTTCTGGTAACATGAACAGATGTTTGGCAGATGGAACTTTTTTGTGTGTGTAAAGGAAATGTAGTCATGAAGAAATGGTAATAATAGCAAGATAACCTCAGAGTTCCACAATCTTTCAATCAAGGGACCAACCTTTTATCTTCTATATTTAAAACAATTCTCCATTCAAGTTTTACAGTCAGTGTTCTAGGTTTGATAAATGATAATGCTGCGTGCCAAATCTTTTATCCCTATGCATGCATCTTTTGGACCATGGCTTTTCTGATTCATTTATTCAGTCACCAAATATTTATTGTGGGCCTGAAGTGCCTTGCCTTATACGTTAAATTAGCATACTCAAAAAAGGGAACAAAGAGATTCAAAAAGTTCTATTCAAAAGTTGGCCATGACGCTTTCCAGTCCCCCACCTCCACCCCACCTGTCAACCCAGAAGTGGCCACACCTTATTGCTAGGCCTGGCTCCAGTGAAGCTTATGTAAAGCCTCAAATCTACCTGTGCCTTCCTCTCTTTCTCTGCCGCGCCCGCCTCCCCGCCCAGCCGCCGCGTGCCTCGGGGGTACCTGTCCCTGCAGCAGGAATCGATGCTGAGCTCATCGATGCCCCAGTACTGGATCTCCTGCAGGAAGGAGAGCGCGCACAGCTGCTCCATGACATGCAGGCGGCCGGTGCGGTAGTAGTGCAGGACATAGCGGAACGCCTGCGAGCTGCGGTCGAAGAAGTACTCGTTGTCCACGGGGTTGGCATCGTCGCAAAGCTCCAGAGGGCTGGGCACGGCGGCCAGGGCCCCAGGGCGGCGGTAGGAAGCCACCACCACGGCCAGCTTGCCAAGGCGCGTGTGCGGGAAGCAGGACAGCGCCTGCTGCGAGAGCACGAAGCGGCTGCCGCCCACATTGACCGTGAAGCAGTCCCCGAGCGCCAAGGGCTCCCCTTCACCCTCGCTGCAGAAGACACTAGAGTCCAGGGAGGTCAGGGAGCCGCTGTCCAGCGGCGAGTCCAGCAGCGCTCTGCCGCTGGAAGGCATCTCTATCCCAGTCGCCGCGGCCTGAGGGCGCCACAAAGTTGGGGACACGCCGGAAGCGTTGGTCCCGCGAGGGCGGTGGCACGGCCCCTGTTGGCGACCGGGATTCCCCGGGCTCCCCAAGGGGTTACCTCTCCCTGGCGCACTCTCTCCACCCGCTGTGCTCTTTCCTCCTCCTGCCGCTAGGGAGCCGCGAGTGCGCGGAAGCAGCGCACAAGTGGCAGAGAAAGGAGACTGGGAGCAGAGGAAGGGTCGCTCTAAGAGAAAGGATCAGGTGAGGTCCAAGCCCGACACAGTGCCTGTGCACACTGCCGGTCGCCCTGGCCCTTCTCAAACGCCGTCACCCCGCCTCCCAACTTCGCAATTGCGATTCCCAGCCCAGGAGGTGTACAGATTGAATGACTCGCTACTTGGTGGGTGGAGGGGTTGGGGAAGGGAGGAAGGAGGGAGATGTGGGGCGGAGGAGGAGGAAGAAGAGAGAAGATGACTCTTAGCTGAATGCAAGCAAGCAAGCAAGGAGGATGGCGAGACTCACTCCTGCCCGCAGGAGACCAAAACAAAAAGTTCAGAAAGCAAAGGAAGTGGTAACCGGGTCCCTTCCAACTTGAGACTTTATATTCCTCCCTCTTCTTTTACTGCTGTCTCATAGGCCTCCCCGGGAGTGTTCGCTGGGGATGTGAGCAGGTGGGGGAGGGTGCTCTGGGTGAGGGGGCCGCACCATTTTCTCCCAATTCACTCTCATTCTAGTCTGATGATCACTGACGCTCCATTTTCTTCCCCTGTCTCCCTTAGGTTTTGACCTCCTGGTTAAGAAACAAGAATAATTAATGATGACTTTTTATTGAAGCCCCAGTGGGTCACTAAGAACTAGGAATGTCACTGTCAGTTCCCACCCTGTCGAGTGTACACCTCGTGTTGAGGCACTTTGTTGAGGCACCCTTCCTTTTAGCCATTTCTGTCCCTACAAGTTTCCCGGAGAGCAGGTGTTCTGAGCACAGCGGAGCTCTCGTTTTAGAAGGAAAGGCAAAAAGGCAAGGAATAGAACAAGCGTGGGCTGGGGCAGGAATTTAAATAGTAACGACGGCCTCCCTCGGTAAAGGGAGAAGCCGAGGCCAGCGCCCAGGTGAGACTAGAAGTGAACCCACCGGGCCGCTGGAAGCTACGCTCCATCCAACCTGTTGGACTCGGGGCGAGGAGGTGGGGGCGGGAGGGAAGAGCAAGTGACTCACCTGCAGCTCCTGGCACATCTGATCTGCGCACAACCGGCGCCGCAGGTAACGTACCCTTCCTTTGATCCTCTTGGTCTACACGTGAGGTCTGACTCGACCCGTCCAGGAGGGAAACTGTGCTCCAACTGAGCTCTACTCAGCGCCTGCTGCCTCGCCTTTCCTCCACCTCCCTCCGGGCTCCTGGACCCTGGGCTTAGGCTAAGCGCGTCCGCCCCGCCCGCTGTAGCCCGCAGAGCAGCCCGCCCAGTGTTTCCAGCACCAGCAGAGGGGAGTGGCAGGATCTAAGGGAGGGAGGTGAGACGGCGGGGGTGGGGGCGGGGGGAGTGAGGTGCCTGGTGACACTGAATATTACATTTATCCTGAATACACTTGCAGAATTACTGCATTTGATTCCGGTTTCCCTGGATCTGTGCCTTTGCAAATGTTCCAGAACAAAATTTCCAACTTGATCAGTGTGCTAAACTTGAGGTTAGGGCAGTTATATTAACTGCTTTATTTGGCATGGTTCAAGGTTTTCTCATTTTCAGCAGGCATCTCAGAATCATGCATTTTTCCAGTCTTTGCCAGAGAGCGTGAACCACACTCATCTTTGTTGTTTTCTAGCATGTATATACAGAATACATATTGGAAAGCATATATTATGTATACACTTACATACATAAGTATATATTAGAAAGTATACACACACACACATATTAGGTAGTATATATAAAGACATAAGCAGGCAGCCTGATGTGGTAGAATAAGCTTTTTCATAGATTGGACAGAAACGTTACTGTTTAGTTCTAACTTTGCCAGCTGGCTGTGGGATGTCTAGCTATCATTTACTTCGAGGGTCTTAGTGCCTTCCTCAGTGAAATTTCAAGTTTTAATAAAAACATCCAACATTTAATGGGTGCTTACTTTATGCCAGGAAATTTGTAGGCTCTTTATTCATGCAGTGCCTTATTTAATCATAATGACAACACTATGAGGTAGCATATACACATTTTACAGAAAGGAAAAGTGAGGCACAGGGAAATTAAGTGATTTACAAAGGGCCACACAGTTCAAATCAAACCCAGGACTACATGTCAGAGGCTGTCTTCATAAACAAAATGCTAGAAACATTATCTTTTTGGTTGATAAATCACTGTAGTTGCTTTTGTTTTCTTTGTTTGCAAGTTTCTAATGAAGGACAAGAGTTTAATTAGGTATTCTCATCACTCTTTCAACAAAAGTTTACTGAGCTTTCACTATATACTGACACTATTCAGGGCACTTGCGATAGATCAGTGAAGAACAGACAAGATCTCTGTTGTTGTGGAGCTTATAGTAATCCTCTGAGAATAAATGGGGGACTTCAATAGGCTTTTTTAAAGTACAATATTTACAAGCATGGTTCTTTTGACAGCCATCCATTTGGTTAACTTCTCTCCATAAAGAACTCTTCCCTACAGTAAATACAGAGATGCTAGATTTATCCCAGTCAATAGTTCATCATTCTGTATAGGTACTGTATTGTTATTATTTTTTAATATAATGGAGCTTTCCCCTGCACAGCAAGAAAACTCCTCCAACATCTCAATTAGAGATTATTTAGGTATTGAAAAAAAGTAAAAGGCCATAGTTCTGTTAAGCCTTATTCATACCATGATTAACAATAAAAGTCTATACTAGCTTTACAGATTATGGTGAGGAAAGAGGAAAGCGTTCAAAGGAGAATGACAGCTTTAGGTGAGGAGAGAGATCTTGGTCAGGTAACCAGAGGTTAGTGAAAGATGACTGAGGCTTCCAGGTCTCCTCCCCTGCCACTAAGCCACTGAACCTCAGTTGTGATGAATGTTGTCCTGTAGAATGTTATAATAACCTCTCCTTAAGAGTCAGGCTCTCTGCTACACATCTGACTTCTCACAATGATCCTATGATGTAAGCACTGTAATCCTTAGTTATGGATTTCAACTTGGATGCTCATAGGCACTAAGAAAGTAACTTTCTACCTTACATAGTGAATATGTGAAGGGGTATGTGAAAGGCTTGAAACAGGTCCTTTCTGACTCCTGACTCTGTCTCAACTGCTAACAGCCTGAATGTTTCAATTGGGCATTGATTGTAGTTATAGCAATTGACACTAATCAAGGCAATCATAACTAGATGGATGATTAGTCAACATGGAGTATATAAATATAAATGACCCCTTTTTAAAATATAGAGTCTTGAGTAATACAAATTCCCACCTGTGCTCTGTGCCTTTCCCTTAAGTCTGTTGATTTTCCTTCCTTAATGGCCCAGATTTTAGTAAGAGACTCCAAGGAAGAGCATACCATAGAATAAGAAGGGAAATATGTCCACTTCAAGGATACTTCTTTTAGCCCTAATCCTGACCTGAGGTATAACCTGAGGTATGTCAAAGGAGAACTGCTGATAAGTAGTTGGAGGTGGTGAGGTCATGCTTTCCATTTCATTTCTACATAGCATGGGAGGAATGTGATTGTCATGTGGGAGGTTGCTCAGTACTGCAATGTAAAAACCCGACAGTCTAAAGACTTTGGGTATATTCCCTAGTCATCAGATGTTATATTCGAGTGATTTTCCATTAAGATTCTTGTTATGAAATACTCTACTTGCTTTTGGTTTCATCTATCAATTCTACACATATCGACTTGAATATGGAATCTCCAGCGACAACTAGTATTTTTAATTCTTTCCATTTTTATGAGTATTTTAAAGTTTATTAATGAACAGTGTATATTCTTAAAAGTTACAAATAAGATCAAAAGAAAAATCATGGCATACTTTAAACGTCTAACTCAATAACAGTTATGAAAATAAAAGTTAAAAGTCATTTTAAGCTTATTAGAAAATCCTACTGTTAAAAATATGTAACACTTCATTTAGGTTTTGAAGAATTCATGAGAATATTTATGTTAATATCATATTCTGTTTAACTGTGATACTTTTGAATAATACATTATAATATTTCTGTGAAATCATTAATGCTTATCTCTAATATGAATGTTTAAAACAATTACACAGATATGATCATAAGCCATTAAAATTTTTTAGGAAAATGTAAATTCATTATTAATTTATATCCAAAATATCACAACCTTTTTTTATAATTAGATAGACATGGGAAATGTAATGAGTGAATAATCTTGAATAAACAGCTTTATAAAATTAAACTTAAGTAAAATCTAAATTTTCATTTTTAATTCCCTCATTGTAGTTTCATACATTTACACTAAATTCATTTAATTTTTATCATTCATCAACAATGCAGACAATGTTTTGTGTGAGGTATGCGTATCTTTGGCTCTGTCTTTGATTTCTCAGGAACTGACAACCAGATAGATGTACCAATTGTGATGATGTTTAAAAATGTCTTTGTGTGTGAACAAAATGACTTTATCATTTTTTCCTTCATTGCACTGGGATATGTTTAAAGGTAAAAGAAAATCTGACAAATTCTATCTATTCATCTTTCATGTGCCTTCTAGGCGCTTGGAATAAATCCTTCCAACTCTATGACAGCCCACTCTAATGCAGAATTTAGCTTAATGTGGGCTTGTTCTGGATTTCTTCCAAGGGAAGGCAATTATCTTTGGAAGTACCCAAGAAATCATTTTTATAGCCTAGTCTGCTACAGAGATAGCATGATGGGTTGATGACGGTGATGGTGAGGATAATAATATGATAATAATAGCTGTTGTCTTTATGTATTTCATCCCTGTTCTGCCTTCTATGGGCTGCGTGACCTTAACAAGTTTCTTAAACCCTGTAAGTCTCATTTTCCTAATCTGTAAAATGGGGATAACAATAGTACTTTATGTTATTGTTTTAAAATTAAATGAGATAATCCATGTAAAACGTATACTGCAGTGTCATTCTTATCACTTTTGTTATTGTTATGTTTCAGGAATATTTTTATACTTCCCGCTACCCCCAAGTACCTAACTGCAAGATGCCTAACCTGTGAGATGATAGGCATTATGTTAAGAATTTTACAAACATTATCTCATTTCTTTTATATTTTACATAACCCAACAATGAAGGTAATATTATGATTTTGGTTTTCCAGATGAGAAACCAGGATCAGAGTGTTAAAATAATTTTCCAAGTGTCAAACAGATAGTAGATATAGATTTGAACACGTTTGTTTGACTCAAAGCCTTTATTCATTGAAGGGCATTGATATAAAAATAATGTGATGATGAGAAATCACTGTTAGACATTTTCCACTCTTCTTTGCAAATAATTTTGAGAAAGGAACATTTCTATTATATGCTCCAAATAATTAAGAAATGACTCTACTTATCAGCAATAACCAACATATGACTGTGATTTCACATTTAAATAATTCAATTTTTAAAAATAATCATTCTTCAAAAGAGATAGGCAATCAGATTGATCATTAAATGATTTTTCACTTTGTCACTACTATATGCCAAAGGCATGTTGAATTTTTCTTGAATTATCAAAAAATGCATAGACTCAGGATACTTATTGTTCACCAGATTAATTTTTATAATTATGTTGAAATTAAGCTTTTATAAACAAGATTCAGAAGCAGTGGAGCAAAAGCATCTCAAGTTCTCTGCTCATCATGTTCTGGGAGCTGTTATGTGAACTCAGTATTGAAGTTGAAAATTCCAATTAAATACTTTTTACTCAACTCTATCAAATTCCGTTATTTTGATAGAGAAAGGTTGAGTCAAATGGAACCATTAAAAACTGTGCCTCTCATTTGAGTGTATATGATTTATTAATACTAGAAGCAAAATTGCCTTTAGATTTATTCCTTATTCTATTTAGTACTTTCCTTCGTTATTAAGGAACTCAGTAAACTTGAGAACTTCGTCTTGTAATTGGAAGAAAGGTAATCTTTGCGCTCCATACTGTTACGAGGTTTTTGTTATTGTTGTTTTGAGATGGAGTTTCACTCTTGTCGCCCAGGCTGGAGTGCAATGGCGTGACCTCAGCTCACTGCAACCTCTGCCTCCCGGGTTCAAATGATTCTACTCCTGAGTAGCTGGGATTACAGGTGCCCGCCACCATGCCTGGTTAATTTTTTGTATTTTTTAGTAGAGACAGGGTTTCACTATGTTGGCCAGGCTGGTTTGGAACTCCTGACCTCATGATCTGCCTGCCTTGGCTTCCCAAAGTGCTGGGATTACAGTTGTGAGCCACCACGCCCATCCCAGAAGGTTTTTAATGTTAATTTTCCTTGGTTTTCCCTATGAGAAGTGTATCACTCAGTAAATATTTATGGACATG